TCGCCGCGCTTTGTCAACGGTCCCGCTCTAGCGCTATGCACCGGCAAAGAAGTCTCGCGCTGTAATTGGAAGTTCAATATATGGTGAAAGAAAACATAACGAATGTGACGGCGTGATAAAGCAGAACAGTGAGGGGAGCCGATCGGAGAGCGCGTTTTGATGGAAAACCAGGAACGAACTCGTACGCCAGCATTTCTCGATTAACAAATAATCTTTGGGTGAAAATAAGGTAGGCTGTGGCTGCTTTCATAGTCCGCCGTCCAGCCCGCGAGCGACCGGAGGCGGCGCTTTCGCATTGTTTACAACTGGTACAACTGAATCTTGGTCGATACTGCCATGAGTAGTCCTCCGGCCGGCTCCCTCGCTCGCTCGCGGACTATGAAAGCACCCTATACATTGCATAAGTTTCAGACGAAGTTTCTGTTGTATCTCAAGAAAGCGAGACCATGCAACGCCAAATACAGCTTCTTTTGTGAGTACTGTTGAGGTTGTTCGATGTTTCATATAAAAACCGAATGACTTTTAAGTGAAGCAAACAAGAAACTTCACGAGACAAACGAAAGCCTCAGAGATGCCTTGGACAGTCGTGCATCTGTCATCAGACAGTTCAACTTGGTGAGGACAGAACTACGGATTAATGAAAGGATTTTGGACGAATGGAGCATTTTTCTACATTTTATTTACATTTCTAGTGGCTGTCGATGAACATAGAGGGCGAATCCTCAGTAATTTTAGCGGTAGTACTACAGTCGCCGTATCAGAGGCAGTGGGCACGATAGTTCAGGTTTACAAATGGGAGAATAGAGAGAATATAGTCACAATGAAAAGGTGAACCAGATTGCAACTAATTGTAGGTACTGTAGGTATGGGTGATGTGCGAAAAGCGCCCAGAAGGTAAGAGAGCGCAAACAGCACATCAAAATTTTCATTCACTAGTCATCACCGCCCTAGCGTTAATGAGGGCCTCAATACAACACTTTTCATGACTGATATTATTACTACTGTAAATTCCACCTGCTAAATACGGTTTGTTTGTAAAATAGCGAACACCGTCACCGCACCTGGCCCGGACTGCTTCTGAAGGGCTGGCCATGTTCCAAAGCCATGATCAAATGCGAATACAAACACCCGCCACTCTCAGTGAAGTTCCGACTGAGGAGGACGGTGAGAAGGATTCTAGAACTTTAACTGGAATGAAATTCGGTTGAATTCAGTTCCAGACTCCGGCTTGGTGATTTCGTTTGACGATGGCAATCTTTCGAGTGATTCAGACAAGCCAAAAGGCGATATCGAGCCTTTGGTGGTAACGTTTTGGTGTCAACCGATCTCATTTAAACTTGTTTAAACGCATAATAATATATGTTAGAAGAGCGTTGTACTGGACCACTCGTTCAGGGCTTGCACCCAGCTACAGGACCCGCAGAGCGCACTTTTCGGGTGGTGATGTGTGGTGAAGCCGCCGTTGGTAAAAGTAGCTTGGTAATGAGACTTGTTAGCGGTAAACATTGTGCCAATCTACCCAGTACTCTTGGTGAGTCTTTTTCAGTGACTTTTTCTAGTGGGATTAGAGAGTTGGATCAGATTGAATCAATAAATAACAGGCGTGGACTTCCATGTAAAAACTGTGAACGTCGATGGTAGAAACGTGGCACTTCAGCTGTGGGACACAGCGGGACAAGAAAGGTAGCGGTTCTCGTTCTACTCTGGAAATCCTTCACAATCTGCTCATTACTGGATTCTATTTTTAGATTCCGATCGTTGTGCAAGTCATATTTCCGACGTGCTGACGGCGCCATATTGGTTTATGACGTCTCTTCTGAACATTCTTTCTTAAAAATTCGAGATTGGGTCGACACCATCAAGGTTTCCAAGTGCTCTCCTGCTTCCACCTTTTTTTTTGTCCAGGATTCTTCCGGAAAGTAAGCTAGGATGGCCTTCTAGTGCATAAGTTAGCATGGAGAAGGGATTATGGTCGCCACTGGCTGCTTTCAGAATCCGCGATCCTGCCCGCGAACGAGCGAGCGAGCGCACCGGCCGGGGGACTACTCGGCCGGCGGTATCGACCAAGATTCAGTTGTGAACAAGTGGCAAACGCCGCCCCCGGCCAGCTCTCGGGCCGGATCGCGGACTATGAAAGCAGCCACTGTCTTAGACCAGAACATTTTAGCACCTGGTAGAATTAGTCAGTGCAGGAAACTAATTTAAAAAGTCGAAAATGTCGATAAAAGTGCGATCATTAGTTGTGATCAACAATAATCAGTAGTTCATCGATAAGAGGGGCCACCTTTTAAATGGAATGAAGCCTACTTTTTCTGCCACACAATTCGCCATGGGAGAATGTTTCTTTATTCATGTTTCGTGGATTTTTTTGGTTTCTATCTTGTACCGGTGAAAATGTAGTTGGGGGGTGCCAGGCACTTTTGTGCTCTGCGTCTCTTCAATTCTTTCCTCATCTACAATCTCTCCCACCCCGGAGCTCCTTCCCTAACTTCTGGAAGGGAAGGAGTTCATTTCTGCGATCTGTATGCAATCTGCCGCCGGTGTCAGGGACGCAGAGCACAACAGGGCGCTGGCACCCCCCAATTACATTTTCACCCTTTTACCTTTCGATTTGAAACAATTTAGGATTCAGTTGAAAGGCAAATCCCAGTGATACTTGTCGGTAACAAGTGCGATCTGCGAGCTAGCTTGGGCGAGGTGGTGTCCAACCACGATGGCGCTGCTTTGGCAGCTGTATGGTTCTTCCTTTTTTCATTACTGAAGTTTGCTCAGATTCAGTTCTTTTCGATTAATGGTCCATCGACCGAAATTGAACCTCATACCTTCCCAACTGAAAATACCATTCGATCGTAAGTATTTCTCCAGTTATTTCAGAAAATGGGTGTCCTATTTATGGAAACAAGCGCCTTGGATGGAAGCAACGTAGACAGTTCAATGTTAGCTTTAACAAGGTAGGGATCTAGGTCTTCTCAATTCATACATTGCTGGTTGTAAAAAATAAAGTGAGGGCTCGAAAGGCTCTCTGTCTCAAACAATGCTTCCAATCAAAATCCGTCGAGTCTCAGGGAATTTTGGTTACGTTTGGAAATATCCAAGGGAAGAATGCTTGCAACAAATATTGAACACTGAGAATGAGTTGTAAATGACTTTGCATTTTCCTTAGCTTTTAGTATGGCGTTCAATTTTTGTGGACAGATAGTGGCCAACGAATTCTGAGCGCAACATCTCAATGATAGCATTTTTTCAATTCATGTTCCTCCTTTTGAAACTCTGCTTACTTGGAATATTCACTCCTTTTTATAAACGCCCTCCTCTTGGGGAGAGATCACGAAGTCTCATACCCGATAGAATGGGCATCGAAGGAAAGGCCAAGCTTTCTGTCCGCAAATTTCATCCTATCCTTTCAAGCCTACGCTAACCTTATCTCATTGAACTTGCAGCAGCGGCGTTCTCTCCAAATTTCTCTTCAGATCTTCAGTTAGTCAGTGATCGAATTTTCCGGAATGAATACGGGCAAGAGAAGGTTTTTTTAGGGAAATGATGGCTGTGGAGGACGTGGACGTGCGAGCTGCTGGAGTGATCCTGTCGCCAAGAACCAAACCAGCTACCGGATGTTTCAGCAAATGCAAAGGATAACGATAATCTGTGATAAATTTCCGTGATAAGTATAATTACATCGTCGCTAGTTAACGCTCTGAACATTTAGCCATTCCGCGTGGTGCAAATCGTTTAGTGATACGTAGCAAGTTTACAATGGTTTCCAGCAATTGTAGCGAATGTATCGGTTTAATTGAAGATAAAAATGCTCAGCTTTGTGTTGATATCCAGGTGTAAAAATTCTGTATCGACAGTGTCACTTACTTCTGGAGCATCTCCCGCTTTCAATTTTTCCATGATTTTCCGATCTTCACTTTTTCTATAGCTTTTTCTAATTATTGACTTGTCAAGACTACTTTACTACATAATCTTTCATTATCCTATGACACCTCAACCTGCAGGGCCTTCGAATGCAGAGACAGAGCGGGGCCTCCACATCGTTAAGGTCTTTTGACTTCGACTTTCGATTTTCGATGTTTCAAAGTATTCAATTTGTTCGTTTTTTGCCATATTACAATGATCGAGTATCTGGGCCTCATCCCAGTTCATCCATTCTCTAACGTGTGGGGAACTTTGATTGTAAAAATATAGACAAAGGGAAAGTTCTTCGCGAGTCTGAACCCCACTCCATTGTCAGCCTCGGGTAGGAGATCGCTGGTGAAATCGAGCGGTGGTTTGGTAGGTCCGACGGTTTGTCAGCTATTTAGAATCCCCATTCATAAGAAGCAGTCCAGGCTAAGGCGAGTTGGGGGTTTAAGGAGCCCCTCGTACAAATATGGTCCACGGATCAAATAGCTAAGTAGCTTGAATAGGCTTCCACCTTAATCTTCTCAGAGTTTTGCCCTCCTGCAGAAGTGAAATTACTGTCCCCGAAAACTTCCACTATCTAATCACGACTCTTCTAAAGTCACACCATATTGGGGTCCTAGACACGCAATCGATGGATGTGCTCATATCGATCATCACGATGTGCAATGGCCTGATAGCCGCGCAAGGGATGAGGGCCTGCACCGGTTGCACCGGTTGCTCGGCCATCGGAGTGTTCTGGCATCGACCGGGCACGAGCAACTTACAGGAGAGCTTCCTGGATTTTCGGGTAAACAGCTCTTCGTAGCTTTTCCTGCGAAGCATTCGCTGCCGTTCCTCCGAAGCCCCTTGGTATGCGCTTATAGTTTGGGTGGATTGCGCAAAGCAATTCCTATATATGTGATGGTATCAAGGCGCTGCCTTGGCAGCTCCGCAAGGCGCTGCCTTGGCAGCTCCG